CTTATGTTTATGATGTACCGCATGGAGTTTTGTTTGAATTTTGCCGGTGGCAAAACTTTAGAGTTTATTACAAATGACATTTTTCTTTTATGCTCCTATCATACGCTGTATCGCATGAAGTTGCATTAAACGTTTGCGTTTAGGAGCAACCGTTCATTCTAAGTTATGTTACACACTGTATCACATAGAGTTTTGTTTGAGTTTTGCAATATGTCATCGTTCTCCCAATAGATGCTTGATCACCAGAACCTCATACTATTTCTTTCCCTTCGTGTGATAACCCATACATCTTTAAACATCTACGTGGTGAAATAATAAACATCTTTGGACTGGACGCCGAAGTATAATTTAACCATCAAATGAACTTACCTTAAGGAAGTTCGATCGAAATTATATGAGGCGTCCAGTCCAAAGAAGTCAAAGAAGTAAGCTCCCCCCCCATGCCCTACCCTGATGGGTTATGCACAAAACGTAATGATTTCAACTAAATGACTGTAGAAGGGAAAGCAGCGGTATATACAGGAACACGGGCGTAGCAGAAGGGGATTTTGCTTTAAAAACCTTGTGGCTGGTAGCACGACAGGGCGGACTACGTGGTGAAATAATAAACATCTTTGGACTGGACGCCTCATATAATTTCGATCGAACTTCCTTAAGGTAAGTTCATTTGATCGTTAAATCAAATTATTCGATTGTACCATTTTAGACTATGCATACTGGTATGCACATATACAGTTGAAATTATTTGGGAAACGTTATGATCTTTGTACTTCTTACCGTTCACCAAACAGTGATGCGGATACATTTTTAACGTTTTTTGAAGAAAAATGCGAAGAAATGTAGAATTTTAGAAACAATATAATACTTTTATTATTTATTGTAAAAGCATGAAATCAAGAAAATTGAAAGAAACCATAAATAACTATGGGTTCAAGCAAAAAATTGAAGAGAGTACCAGAATAACATCATTATCAGAGACTTTGTTAGATTTTGTTATTGTAAATTTCGAATGTGCAGGGATTAAAGCTGTACATACACCTAAATTTAGTGATCACAGTTGGACAATGCTGCCCTTTGTAGGGTATTCTTCTCATACAAAAATTAAGAAAATCTTAAATACTATTAAGTACAAAAAAGTTGAACGAGAACTTGCTGGCTGCTATTGGAATTTTGGTGAGAATATTAAAAAAATATATGACAACATAATAGGAAATATAAAAACTTGTTTAGATCTTGCAACTGATAAAAAAGTGATTTGCTCGACAAAAAAACCCTGGTATAACAAGAATATTAAGGCAGCTCAAAATTTGAGAGCCAAATAATACAATAAATGTATATTTACAAAATCAAATGATGACTGGGAGGTATATAAAATTCTTAGGAATAAATGTGTGTATGTAATTAGAGAAGAGAAAAGGAAATTCTACGATAAACAAATCGATAATAACAAGTGCGACAGTGTAAAGATGTGGAAGACTTTAAAAAGACTGATCAATTCGAAGCCGCATGATTGTGTAAATCAAGTTCAATTTGAAAACGGAACTGAAACAAATTCTTTGGTGATTGCAAACAAACTAAATGAATATTTTGTGGAAAGTATTGTTGATATTGTGGACACTGCCAATGCTGCACATGACTATATGAAAATTAGTTTCCAGGTGGAAATGTTGCATACACTTTCAAAATTTCATAGCGTATTATCTAAGAAAAAAAGTAAACAGTTTAAAATCAAATAACAACTGTGCCGAAATCACTACTAAAAACGTTTCGAAATTTTGGGATATCCTGTATTAAATTGGATCAATTATTCACTGAGAAGCAGTTCTTTTCCTGAAAATTTGAAATGCTCTACAATAACACCAGTTCCCAAAATAAAGAATTCTGAAAGATGCAGCGATATGAGACCAGTAAATGTCTTACCAGACATTAAAAAATTATTAGAGTCCATAGTGCATGACCAATTAATGCAGTTTATAGAAGAAAACAAAATTTTAGTGGAGGCGCAAGCAGCCTTTTGAAAAAAATATTCCATAGAAACGGCTTTCCAGTTTATTATTTTTGGATTTGAAGAGGGCATTTGAAACGATTGATAGTGATATTTTGTTAGGTAAATTGAAGGCATATGGTATATCAGGAAGTGTTTTAGATTGGTTTAGAAATTATTTGTCTAAAAGGATGCAAGTTACAAAGTGACACTATTTCATCAAAAATTGAAAATAAGTTGGGTGTTCCACATTGCAGTATCCTCTGACCACTTCTTCTTATTTTATACATAAATGATTTACCTGCCATAGTCAAAAAATGCAAAATTCAGATTTTCGCCGATGACACTATGATTTATGTAAGTACTAAAAATATTCAGACTCGTATCTCTTATATAAATGAAGACTTGAAACTTGTCTCAAAATAGTTAGCATCTAACAGACTAAAATTAAATACAAGTAAAACGAAAGCCTTGTTGTTCGGAAAAAAACAATGTACAAATTAATTAAAATTAAAATTAAATAAAACTGAATATTGATGGTGAAGATATTGAATTCGTAGAAAATTTTAAATACCTGGGGGTTTTTGTTGACTCTCAATTAATTTTTGATATTCATTATGAAAAAGTTATGAATAAGATTAGTAGTAAAGTGGGATATTTATCGAGAGTTTCTGGATGTCTGAGTTCATATAGCAGAAAAATTATCTATAATACCATCATTCTTCCAAATTTCTTGTACTGTTCGACTATTCTACATTTAGCAAATAATTCCATTTTTGAAAGACTGCAAATTTTACAAAATCAGTGCATGAGAATAATACTGAATAAAGATAAATATACTCCAATTAGGCAAATGCTTAGCAAATTAAAATGGCTCAATGTAAAAAATATCAAATATCTTGTAATGATATTCATTTATAAAGTAAAAAATAATATATTTCCATCAAGTCTAACTAATTTAACATAAATGTCGACCATCATTTACATAATACCAGAAATAAAGATGACTTTGACAAAATTTAAAGCAAAATTGAGAAATCACTTGTTAAATCTACAATTATAGGTTGCCCAGCATTTACATCATACATCATATGGCTTGAATTTACTAGTTCTAAGTTGTTTACAATTATTCTATTTATGTAGCCAAATGTGCTAAATAAATCTTTCTACTACTACTACTACTACTTCAAATTGAATCCCAAGAAACGCGTTTTCTCATTCTTTGTTGTCGAATAAAAAGTTTCCCCACAAAAACTGGTGTACCCATTTTATACGTCCATGTTTTAAATACCCCCTTGAAAAACTTGCTTTAATAAAACCCGACTCTACAACTATTTCTCTGAAATTTGCTAAATTGCTATTATTAATGTTTGCTTATCTGACGGCCATTTCTCCGATCTTTGCGAATACACTAAAGTGCTACCAATACATAAGACAGATGAAACAGGTTCTCCAGAAAAATATAGGCAAATCCGTATAGTTTCTAAAAAATAATTGAATATGCTCTCCTGGACCAGTTAGTAAAATACTCAGATTTAATGAATATACACAATAATAGTCATAGTTTGGTTTTCGATCAGAGGGCCATCTGAAGCTATGGTGAGCCTTGTAGAGAACATGCAGAGATCACTAAAGGATGAGTGTATACATGTGGGGGATTGCGAATGAGTTAATAAGATCTTATCTGGTAAATAGAAAACAGAGAGTTTACTGTAATCGGGAAGTGAGTAATGAATTGGTTGTATGCAGAGGAGTACCACAAGGCTTCATACACTTGGACAATTTCTGTTCATTATGTATATTAATGATTTGCTTGAGCACATCAAATACATTAAGAACAGCACAATAACAACGATGTACGCTGATGATACAGCTTTTAGTTTTTCTTTAAGTAAGGATATAGTGGGTGGGACTGTTCTGAGCCACTCTGAAAAATGGTTTTGATCAAATAAATTATATTTAAACAATCAAAAAACTATAGTCTGTAAATTCAGCTCACGCATAAATTCAGATGTATCACATGCAAAATTTTTAGGTACACAGTTGGACCTACATATGACTTTGACATTCGATATTGACCAAATTTGTTAAGCTGGCTGGGGTTGTATATAAAATACGCAAAATTGCGTATATTATCGATACGGACCATGAACAGCACACAATGGTATGTTTAACTCTATATTGAACTATAGAGCGGTTAGTTGGGGAATGCCTCACATTCTCATTTACAAAACATTTTAATCAAAGGGCAGCAGTTCGTAGTATTGTTCGAGCTAAGCACAAAGAACACTGCCGGGAAATATTCAGAAGCAATAATGACAATATTTGTAGTTATATAAGAATCTAATGCATGTGAGGAAAAACTTGTGTGATTACTGAACTCTGTCCTATATTCACTGCTACAATACACGAGGGAAAAACAAAATAGTACTTACAAGAAAAGGGATTAATGTATCCAAAAGTCTTGGAGTTGAATGTTATAATAAGCTTCCTGAGACTGTTAGCTGTCTGCGGTTGGAGCTTTTCAAAAGGAAGCTCAAGTCAATTTTAATAGACATAGTTTAATATAATTTTGACGATTTTAAGATGTACTGTAGAAAGGTTTCTGTTACCTAGATTCTTTGCAGTTTTTAATTTTTAGTTTTTACATTTTTAATAAGTTGCTCATGTTTGTATATTCGGGAGTACCGTACTGTGTGTTATAATTTTAATATGATGTCTGCGTTACAATGTACGAGTATATAGTCAAGCTTGATGTAATTGTCATTTATATGTGTATGTATTGTGTATGAATTTTATTTGCTTTTATAATTGTATATTTATTTTTTTTATTATCTTAAATCCTCGACTCACCAAAAATGCCATTGTACGTTCTCTGGCTCAATAAATATCTATCTATCTATGCTTTTGATTAGATAATAAAGTGTAACAGTGGGGCCAAATATACATGTATTATGACGAATCCACCGAATTGAACAATTGCTACTGTATCACAACGCTTACAAAAACATCTCACCGTCATCAGAGAAGGGATTTCCGAACCACTTCCTGAGGATGGAGTCTATGAAGCCTAGCTTGGCCTTAGCATCATTAGGGTATTCTATGATTTCTATCTTGTCTACTCTCTCCAGTAAAAATTGTGGTAACTTCCGTTCCAGCTCAGTATGCAATATAACCTGCAAAGTGGAAAACAATTTGTTGTATAATTGCTTGAAAAATATTTTCCTGATTCCTTTTTGTTTTATTCTGCCTTTAACAAGAGCATGCTTGATGGAAAAATCAATGTCTATGGCTAACACGTTAACTGTGGGAGGATTGCTTGCTAATCTGAAGTGTGGTGGGATAGATATCCTTGGCGTTCGGTACCGTACTTTCGTTCTTGTGCAATAAACATCACCAAACATATAACATCTACAGTAACTTGGGCAACTATCTATTAACAAATTGCTCAATCCTTATATTGTTCCAATGATAATATTTTGACAGGTTACATAAGCTGGATACAAATGTGTTTCACACCAAACTTTATTAGGATACATAAAAAGCAGACATAAATTCTCCAAATTCCAGTTGGAGACGCGTAATGCCTCTATGATGATGGTACATACCCCAGAGCACATATGCCGCACATAGCTTAAATCATTTCAATTGTATGTGGAGCATATCCTCGCGGGATTTTATAGTAAAACATATATCTAAATAGTATTTTTATCGTGGCAAAAAGAATCGTACCAAAAACTCCAAAATTCTATACAAAATAACCGTTTTACTGCCAACGCACACTAAACCACGTTAAGTTAAGCATGCCCATTGAATCCCATCGGGTGCGATATCTTTTATCTATTCCGCGATACTCTTGTGCCATACAAAGGAACGCACAGAGTTCGTTTTGATATTTACAGTTTGTCTGCTGAAATTTGTTATTGGCCGATGTATTCATATTTAAACCAAAAAGATTCAATGGCCACCAAATGCAGTCAGTAGTGGGCGACAAAATTATATTATACAATTAAAAATCAACAGAATTTGTATGCATTAATAAATAGTAGATATTTCAAGGGAAATAGCATATGAAGTTTGAACATGGCACACATAGTATATTTTCCTCCAGGCATATTTATATGCGGTCATATGTAGAAAACGCAGAAGTTTTGACATATAACAGTCAAATATGCAGGGTGTTTCGTAACTGGATACCAACATTTAAGGAGGTGATTTTTTGGTCTATTTCTAAAAGAAAACTTCGTATGAACGTATGTCGTAAACGTCTTAAGGAGATACACGACGGTAGAGTATTCAAATGTAAATAATTTATTATTAATACCTATCTTGGTGATTTGACCCGTTCGAAAAATAAGTAGGGGGGATTTGAAAGGCACTACGCTCCAAGCGACAGAAAATGACTAATACAGATTTAAAGACAGGTATAGAATGTTTTAAGAGGAGAACTTCATATGAGCGTTTGTCCTAAACGTGTTAACTTTTGAGATACAGGATGGTAAAATTCTCAAACATAAATCATTTATTGTCGATATCTGCAATACCACTTCAGATATTTTAATAGAATTTTGTATATATAAGAGCATTTTTTAATGTAATACATTTTTCTACACGTGGCGTTTCACCTACCTATTTTGGCAGACATTGATGGTACTGATTCCTCTTAAAACAAAAAAAAAATATCTTGAAACACCGATCATTTCTAATTACATTTGGTCGCTTAATTTTCAACCTGGTAGACGGTTTCCGCCTAAAATAGTAAAAAAGCGAAACGGATTTTATTTTTAGGTGAAATCAGTGCCTCGGGCTAACAAATTCAAGAGGACAAATCTGTTCAAATTAAATAATGTTTTCAAAACTATTCTTCAGAGTCTATGTATTTTGTATACATACTTCATATTTTATGAATGATATATAAGTTTTTCAGTGAAACATTAAAAAATAATGGAGTCGTAAAGAAATATTACTTATTTACTGTTACAAAAATGGCATCAAGTAGATTGACACTATGCTTCCAACGCCTTCTAAACAACTTCTAGCACGAGTAAAATTTTCCATGTAGTGCAATGACATCAAAAAAACGTAGATTTTGTCAAAGACATTAATGCATTATTTGGGATTTTCATGAAAAAAGAAATTCCTCAGATTGCAGCAATTAGCGCAGCTTCATTTTCTGGAGTTCTGACAGTGGTTGCGGGAGGATCATAATGTAAAAACATAAACATTCAATTAGACAACGTTTTCAGGGATGAAGACAACATTTCAGTTTTATTCTCAAAATTTCTTTTTCAAAATTTTTGACGGTCCCCAATATTGAAAGGAGGCCTCTAAAAAGACTAGTAACTGTGCATTTTTGAGTTAATTTACAGTTTTACATACATACATAAAGTGAAAACAATGAAAAACAATCATATAACATCCAAAAGACATAATTTCACGATTACAATACTCCTCGCCAGTAGGCGTGGAAGGTATAAGAACAAGTTCTTCATTTCAACCAGTGGCGACACAATTGACAGTCCTGAATATTATTATAGGAGGTACTACAAAAAGTCAGTGGCACGTCACAAAATGAATTGAAACCTGTATTCACATATGGCCAGATTTGATCCTTTGAATTTTTCCAGTCAGTTTTTATTTTTTTTTAAGTAAACCGTACATCAGATTGAAACAAATCAAGTGATAAAGCTGGTTTAGAAATGGTTGGGGATTTCAAGAATATTTTTTTTTTAAGAAAAATCAGTAGAGTTCCATCATGGTCTACCAAAATAAACAGTTGTAAATCCGTACCAATGCATCTTTTAGAAATTAAAAAAAATATTAGTACAATTAAAAAGCCTTTTGGTACCAAGTACATGAGCGCCAAACAAAAACTTCACCGCCCTGCATTTCAAAAGTTAGGGTACCTAGGACATACGGTCATACGAGGTTTTTAAGTGAATCCCAAAATTACCGCTTAAGATATTGACATTCAATTTGGAAAAGCATTGTATGATCAAAAACTTGCTTTGGATACTCTGAGTACAAATTACAAACGTCCAGCAGTTGACACAAATAATCTTCTATGTTAACGAACGATATTTTGTTTCCCGTCCCCTTTAATTTTTTTATTGTATATGCGACAAAATTTGCGGGCTATACTGGGGCTACGAACGAAGTCATACCATTTCGGAAACTAGAATACCCCAATCTAATAACATGTGATTAACTTTCTAGAAAAAGGTACTTTAAAACCTTCTCGAAGTATGCCGACAATTCTCGACATCAATAACACTGTCAACCAACTAACAAGATACCTGTCTGCTACCTGACAACCGATAACACATCTAGCCTTCAATTTGACATCGCAGAACTTAAAAATACCAAAAGTGACACAGTACCGGCCTATAGCTATACACTATACAGGGTGTTACAATAATATTCTTGTATAAATAACCTCGAATTTCGACTTGCTAGCTCGACCCTCACGGCTATTATGTAAAAAACCTAAAAAATCGAAGAAATGTCATCTTCCAGACTAGGTAGTTTTTAGTGTGCATATAGTTCATTCTACGTTCGCTTGCTCGCTTTTGGCTGATACTTAAACAACACATACAGCTATAACAAGTGTAAAACAGCTTATGCCAGCTAACATCTTGTTGAAAAACCTACGAAAAGTCGAAAAAAAAACCTACGAAATGTAAAAAAACCGATGAGATGTCACTTTTTAAGATACGTAATACCCGTGCTGCACTGGTATTATGTATAAGAGCTAAAAAACGTCAAAAAACCTACGAAATATCATACTGCAGACTAGGCAGTTTTTGGGGTACAAATAGTTCATTCACGTTTGCTCGCTGTGAACGTCCATCTATGGAGGAATCACCACGACACGCATTGTGGTTTGCAGAAAGCAAGCATTTGCTTTGTAAAGCCGAGTAGTCTGTAGTGCTTATGTCTGAGAAGATGTGAAAGAAAGAAAGAAAGTTAATTGAGTAGCAAGATCGCATATGGATGATTATGTGTATTGGTCTGCATGGGTATAAAATCAGTGATATTTACTATGTGAGAAAATTATTACTGAATATGCTGCCAATTAAGTATCTATATCTATTAGCTGTGCCCGAAGGGTTTATTTGTTGTCCTTTCTGAAGACAGGTTATGTCCAAAGTTATAAATTCCGATAATTCCACTTTTTTTGGGTTTTCAAAAACTTTGAGGAGTATTACAGATAATCGTGAACGCGCCCGCGTTGTGTGCAATTAAGACACATTACAGAAAAAGTTAGGAATGACTCATCACACAATCATGATTTTTGCAATGCCGCACATCTAGACGCTGATTCGTACATATTTTCTATTGACATCGAAAAATCAATTTTTATAAAATCTTAATGACTTGAAATACAAAATAAAGTAGTAACTATTAAATACTATATCAATAAATATAATACAGGGTGGTCCATAAGTCCTTTGAAATTTCAAATTTGAATAAAATTTAACGGGTGAGCGTGAGCAGCGCGGGCGAGGTGGGGGCAGTATCTTCAGTGTCTGGGAATTCAGTCGCCATGGAGTGTTTCACTGGAGCGGATCGTGCTTTTTGTGTGCGCGCGTTTTATCAAAATAATGATTCGGCAACCATTGCGCGGCGTAAATATCGAGAATACCACAATTTACACAATTTTACAAAGTGTCCAACAGCTCAAACGATTAAGAACTGGGTTGCTAAGTTCGAAGAGACTGGTTCGACGTTAGATAAACAGCGGTGGGGTCGACCAAGGACAACTCGTATTGAAGAAAACATCAACATTGTGGCACAGTCTGTTCGTCAAAATCCTACCCAGTCTACTCGTAAGCGTTCCAGTGCACTAAACGTACCCAGAACATCTTTACAGCGGATTTTAAGGAAAGATTTACGTCTGCACGCTTACAAAATTCAGTTAGTGCAGGAATTAAAAGATAATGACGCTATTCAGAGACTAAACTTTGCCAATGAAATGTTGAATCGATTTTCTTCGCTCAATAATGTGTTGTTCTCGGACGAGGCTCACTTCCATTTAAACGGGCATGTAAATAAACAAAATTGCCATTATTGGAGCCCCGAAAATCCAAGGCGTAAGCATCAGAAGCCCTTACACAGCCCTAAAGTTACAGTTTACAGTTTGGGTTGCTATGTCAGCGCATGGCATCGTAGGCCCTTATTTTTTTGAGGACGACAGAGGTCGCGCATTAACTGTTACTTCGGAGCGGTATGTAGCAATGATAGAAGAGTTTTTGACACCAGCGTTGCAGAATTTTCGAGGCTACAATACGCAGACCTGGTTTCAACAGGACGGAGCAACTGCCCACACCTCCAACACTTCTATGCCCGTCGTCTGTCAACTTTTTCCCAGCAAAGTAATTTCTCGAAGAGGAGACATTTCCTGGCCACCACGTAGTCCAGATTTGACCCCAATGGACTTCTTTTTATGGGGCTACCTCAAGAGTAAAGTGTAGGACAGCACTCCGCGATCAGTTGATGTCCTGAAAGAAAATATCCGAAGAGAAATGGCAAGCATTACAGTGTTGACTTGCCGCGCAGTCATCGACAATTTTAGACGTCGTTTATATGAGTGCCGTGATCGTAATGGATTGCATTTAGACGATGTGATTTTTAAAACATGATTCCCATTCAATAAAGATGATAACAAAATATAATAATTCTTCATAATGTAACTAGTTTGGTTTTATTCCTTTTTTTCCAGCTCAAAGGACTTATGGGCACCCTGTATATATATATATATATATATATATATAAATAATATAATCAGCTAGAACTAAGTTAATGTCTTGTAGAAAAATCAACGTTATATCACAAAAAACCTACATTATGTAAAAAACCGGCAAAATGTCACTCTTCAGATACGTAATACCATTGCAGTTCAGAAAATTAGTAGGAGGAACTTTTTTTTAAAAAGCACTATATCTAAATCTATTCTTTACTTTTGTTTTATTAGTGACGATGGAATTTCAGAATATATAAATGTATGCAACGCAAATTTGTGCGTGAACATAAAATAATAATAACAGTAATAAAGTGGCATTTCATTTTAACGGTTGTCGATTATACGATGTCGATTTGAATTTGGCTGACGTCGTAATGTGTACTAGAGAGAAGCCCGATACGCACGCAATATGTTAGAAAGAGATAGAAGCGCCGCGTTGCGTAGCATCCTAAGTGCGACATCACGGAAGCTATCCGCGCACTGTTTCTTACATATCGCACGCTTATCGCGCTTCTCTCTCGTACACATTACGACGTCAGTCCGAAAACGAGCCTGAGAGCCATTTATTTGCATAGAAAATGTATTCTCACCTGCATCGCTAACCTCTTGAGCTGAGCATTCCTCCTGACTGACTCGATATCACCAACAGCAAGGCCGATGAGCAAATTCATGAGTAGGATAGGCATCAACACCATAAACAGGCCGAGGACGAAGAAAGCTGGAAGCGGAAACGGCAGGAAGGCCTTTTCCTCTTCATTTGTCATGTAGAAAGGCTTAACGTAGGTGCCCAGGAAGTCTATCTCACCCAGCATCATCGAGAAGGTTCGTATCAGCGACATAGGTATGGTTTTGAATGATAGGTGTTCACCCTATTAGTAAAAAGTGATACAGATACACGAAAAAGAAGAGAACATGCTTTTACAAATAGTGGTATGCTACGCGGCTCTTCCTATGGCCATACATGCCACAAAAATGAAGCTACCAGAAGTTGAATAAAAGCATACCCGTTGATTCTTCCCATGGCAATGATTGTGGAAGTTTTGAAGTACGATATACCTTTTGGCGTTTGACTGATCTCTACCTTACATAGCCTGCCAGGTTTTTTTTAGATTACGCTGCACATGGTTTTACGTGGCATATTCGGGATTTTAGCTTTAAACCCGAGTAATGGAGCTACTAAGGCATTACGATAAAATTGAAGCCGGATTAAAGCTGAAACTCAAAAAAAAAATAGAAAGCTGAGACTTGACCTAGTATTCTGCAATGATTATTTTATTTCCCTAAAATGTGCGTCACTGTGTTATTTAGAACATTAAAATTGTTTGTTTCTCTGCAACAGGTGTCCTAGAATATGCACTGAATATCTCGCTTATATATTTTATATGACCTATAATAATGTGACTAGAAAGGCCCCCATACGAAAATAATGCCGGAGACTAGTTTTACACATTTTGAACAGCGCTATATAACTGAACAGTTTTTTCATCGAAATAATAACCAGTAAATAACTACAATGTACCTTTTGACGTTTCACTGCTCTCAACCTTACATAACCTGCCAGGTTCATTTCAGGTTACGCTGCACAGGGTTTTAGGTGCCATATTCGGGATTTTATTTTTAAACCTGAGTAATGGAGCTAATAAGGCATTACGATGGGAAACGATGATCAAATTCAGGCCAGAATAAAGTTGAAACTTGAAAAAGTGGAAAATTGAGACCTGACCTAATATTCTTCATAGATTACTTTATTTCCCTAAAAAGGGTGCCACTCTGTTATTTAGAACAACAAATTGTTTGTTTCTCTGTAACAGGTGTCCTAGAATATGTACTGAATCTCTCGCGTATATATTTTATATAACCCAGAATAATGTGTCAAGAAAGGGCCCCCTACGGAAATAATACCGTTGGAGACTAGTTTTATACATATAAATGAGACAATTTTTTCGTCGAAATAATAACCAATAAATAACCACAGTGTCCATAGAAAATAAATCAATCATTTATATATTGTATATATGTAATACTAGTGAATATAAAATTATCCTTCAAATGTCATACAGTATGCTACCACCAGTAATGCAATACTGGCTTACTGATGCCTGTCCAAAAAAGAGATTGGCGCTGAAACGTCACTCCCTATCCCCCGATTTGATAAACTACATAAACTAGACACCATTCCGACAGGTAACATCATTGACTAAGGTATCTTCACCAGGTAACACTGGTTCTGCCATTTACACTAGTCGTGAGTAGTAGTATTGTATATGTATATAAGCATGTTTGTTATCCTTGAATACATCCTCTGCCCAGGAAACTAACGAGCACTTATTATATACGAATATATGGCATAAATGAGCTTGCTTATTATTGAACCATGTCAGATATATTATACTGAGTTGAAAAATGACATCAAGTAGGTTGACTCTGAACTTCCCACGCAATGCTGTCATCAGTTAAATAAATATATAAAGGATTATGTTCAGCCCAAACTAGTCAATTAGAGCTAGCTTCAGACATGTATAACAAAAAAATGGGTCGTCAGCCAAACAGGCCCATATACGATTAGTACATACTCCATAGTGCCCATCCGTTTGCTAACGCTCACGCTAGTTTCTTCCCTACCATAAGTATCCAACTGCGTGTCTCGTCTATAAATTTTTATCTAAGTTATAAGGCCAAAAGTACGGGGAAGTCCTTAAAGTGTGAAATATATACTGATAAAACTATCGGGGTTCGAAGCCTAAGAATATACTTTAGACATAAAAAAATAGGTATACCTTCCTCCACCTCGAACAAACCCTAACCCGTGATTGTCAACCCCTACAAAAAATTGAATGAATTTAATTAGCAGGCTCCGCAACGTCACAAAACGAAGTTTGAGGAATTTTTATTTTTTGTGTTTTTGCCCCTAGCTCCGCCGCCACTGGACCGATTTTCAGAAACCACAAGCATTTGGTGCTGATATGATAAACATCGAAATGCTGTTGTATTGCTGCCCCAAAATTATTCCTTTCATTACACATATCATTAATGAATGCATACTGCGTCGCTATTTTCCTTTTTGCTGGAAGTACGCTTTGATTGTGCCTTTGCCTAAAGTTGCTCAGCCATCTGAGCTCAAGGATTTGCATAATATTAGTATGTTGCCAACTTTGTCTAAATTGCTTGAATCAATAATGGATGTTCAGATACGAGAACACTTAAGAACGAATAACCTCATTATAGATACACAATCAGGGTTCCGTCCGGCGCATAGCTGTGCAACAGCATTGCTGGGAGTGGTGGATGATGTATTGTGCAGTGCTGACAAAGGTAACCTGACTGCCTTGATACTCTTAGATTATACGAAGGAATTTGACAAGATACATCATGACCTACTCTTAGCCATGAATTATCTGACCGAGTCAGTCTACTTGCTTTTTAAAAAAGACTTATTTTCGATTATCAAAATACCATTCTATTGATGTATATAGTATGAGCGTTAACAATAGACTAACTAACTGTGAATACAACAAAATAAGACTGGATAAGGCAAAGTGCTGATCCAGGGAAACTTGATCCTCTTCTTTAGTGGTAGGGGTAAATCTTCTGTGCTATAACGCATGCTCCACTTTTACGGATTTTCGGCCGATGCAGAGTCTAATGCGTAGTTACTTCAGCGATCGTCAACAGCAGGTAATGCTGAATGACAAGTACTCCACGCCATTGAAAGTGACCATTGGTGTTCCTCAGGGCTCCATTCTGGGTCCGCTTATGTTCATTATTTACACCTCTAATCTATACTTCAGTCTTCACTCTTGTAAAGCTCATTTTTATGCAGATTATACTTATCATTTCCTCCAGCTCAAACACTGCCTGCTGTTGATCTGATAAATAAAGACCTTTTAACGTCTCACTAAAGCTTCTCGAAACATATGCTTAGACTTGAATCCGGCTAAAAGTACAGTCATGTTATTCGGGCCGAAAAATTGGAGAGACTATTGAGAACCTCTGGTGAAAATAAACCTCGATAACAAAACTTTAGAAATAAGCTCGATAGCGCGTAATTTAGGCTTATACCTTGACAAAAACTTAAGGTTTGAGGATCATGTTAACAAGTGCTCCAGAGAGGCGTATTGTAATTTAAAGACAATATACGGTCTAAAATCTTACATGAAGCAAAATACTAAAGTCATACTATGCAATTCTCTTGTTCTGTCGCATTTTAACTTCTGTGATGTCGTCTATCACAAATGGCTAACTAAATTCGCCTCTGATAAAATACAACGCGTGCAAAATTCTTGTCTGAGACTTATTTTTGGATTAAGAAAATACGATTCAGTGTCATCAAAGCTTACTGATGCTGGCTGGTTGAACATGAAGCAACACAGGCTGCTTCATAGCCTCGTACAATACCATAAGAATATTATGCATAAACTACCATCCTACTTACACGAAAAAATTCATTTCCGTTACTTAGCTCACAATCGCAATACCCGCAACAAAACAAAACTGACACCCCCTTTTCATTCTTCCACCTTATTCGAAAGATCTTTTTCGTATAATATCAGTAAACTTTATAATAATTCTCGCGAGAGTATACTTCTCTTTCTAGGGATTTGTTTAAAAAACGTACACGCTATTACATTGCAGGTAATTGCATGGTATGACTTTGGAGTCATTATGTATTTTTATAGTACCATTTATCAAATTAGCCGCTAGGGTCCATTCTCTGATACTGCGTATACATGCATATATTTTTTACCTCATTTATATATATTCTTATCTTATTATGATGTAATCCTAAAACCAGGGGTTAAGTGGAAGAACGGATATGCCAAACTGCACCCCTCCCACTATATGTTCATATAAAACTGGTTTTGCAACTTGTTTTGTAGTTTCGTTTGTAGGAATAAAGACATTATTATTATTATTATTAAAAACTTGCCCCGATTGTTGTAATAGCAATACTTATAAAAATTCTAGCAACAACCATGACAACAAAAGTAATACAGGTACTTAGAGTAAGGGTAAAAAGTCAGAGGAGTTGAATTTTGGCGGTGTCTTTGCTCCTCTAGCCAATACGACCACCAGTAAATGGAAAAAATAAGGCCGTGCTTAATTATGTTTTATCTCCTGTTAGTCCAGGTGAATGTCCATTTTTGAAGATTAATATTTTGGCCATGAGATTTTTGGGATTGTTAGATTCAGGGGATAATATGGTTTTTGCAGGCTGCAAAGGTTGTAATAAATTGAACGATTGGGGTTTTAGGATTGACCGAAATAGAAAAGCTTCTTGCATAGTCGCTAACAATGCCTCATGTTATTGTTTAGGTATAGTTAATGTTCCCATTGGGTTGCGTGACGAAATTCGTTTTGCAGATATTTCTGAATTGTGTCATTGACTTTTGGGTTAAATGGGGTATTGTTCCTGACATGTGCAGAGGTGACTGGTTCTTTTCGTCGGAAGATTATTCCAAACCTGAGCTATCTATAGTGCAGACGATTTAACTTTTGATCAACAGACTAGATGGATGAGTTAGTTTTTTCGTACTTCGAACAGATAGGGAATCGTTTGAGTCGTACTTCCATGGTGAATCATAAGATCATTATCGATACTAAACCCGTTAACACATTGCCTGCCATGTGAACCACCGGTGATACACAGGCACGTTTTACTCGGAGGCCACGTGACTCACATGTGTTTCGCATGCAGTATACTTCTAAATTAGAGATATATCGGCTTGGCCTGCGAATTAAGTTTAACTACTTATACTGTGGCATACTGATAATATAGACAACTCATTGAGATATACAGTGTTATCCAAATTAAGTGTCCACCATTGGTAACTTTGTTATTAGTAAAAATACAAAGTTGTTTAAATTAGCAAACTAGTAGCATTTTTAACGCTGGTAAAAATGAGAAATAAAAAAAAACAATTGAGAGTCGTTATTTTGATTTTTTTCAGTAAAATAACATTTTTTTAAATGGAAACCCCTGTATATTATATTTTTTTCTGTTAAAGCATCAAATTTTAAACAAAAAAGTTCATAATGACTTTTCCGCTAAAGTCAAAAATAAAGTCAAAATAACGATAAATATTTTTAATTATTTGCAGTATTATAATATTAAGACGGCTATGAAAACAACATGGCGTTCGCGATTTGACAGCATTAAGATAAGCGACAAATTGTTAAACTGGACATACTCGCAACTAGAAGGCTTTGGAAAACAATGATAAAATCAAATAATGTCAAACATTAGTGTAAATACTTGTTTATAAGCTTTATTGTGTCATTAATTTAAAGAAAAATGTTCTCCCATGAAGAAAAGTGTGATATGTTAGAATGCTATTTAGTGTGCAGAAAATCCTCCTTGAGAGCAAGAGAATACTACAGTGAATTATATCCCGCTCGCATTCAACCGTATGAACGATATTTTCTGAGACTTTATCGAAAATTTAGGGGCAACGAAAATGTTTTTGCTAAAACAAGGGCAAAAAAAGAATTCATAATAAGCGAGGCCACGGAAATTGCAGTTATTGGATATTTTGAAGCTTATCGTGAGAATTCAATAGCAGATATTCTCAAGGACTCTAATTTCAGTTATGGTACTGTTCAAAGGATTTTCAAAAAATACAAATTTATTCCGTATAAGTACCGACCAGTTCAAACGCTTTTGGCAGGGAATCCAGAGAGAAGACTTGTTTTTTGCCATTGGTATCTTAGCTTCTGTCGCCAAAATGTAAATAACTTTCGTTACCTTTTATGGACAGATGAATCAAATTTTTCAAATTCTGGAATGTTTAATAGAAAAAACCACCATTATTGGTCAAGAGAAAATCTTTTGTTAGTACATCCAAGAGGCCCACAAGTCCGTTTCAGTTTCAACGTTTGGTGCGGTATAATTGGTTCAAAAATTGTTGGCCCGTTCTTTTATGAGGGAACCCTAACTGGTGAAAGATATGTGGAATTTATGTCAGAAATTCTGACTAATTTCTTAGACGAATTGGATCTTATAAGTAGACATCATCTGCATTTTCAGCAAGATGGCGCACCTGCCCACAACTCTAGAGGTACTTATCATTTTCTAAGTACTACTTTTAATGATCAGTGGATAGGAACAAATGGCCCAATACAGTGGCCTCCCAGATCACCAGATCTAAACCCACTTGATTACTTCTTGTGGGGTTACTTAAAGAACCAAATTTACAAGCGAAGGTACGATAACCTTGACGCGTTAAAGACTGCAGTTAGGGAAAAGATAACCCAGATAGATGGTAGGACCATACTTAAGACAGTTCGAGCAGTTGAAAAACGTGCCCAAAAATGTATTGAAGAACAAGGTGGTGTTCTCGAGCATCTTCTTTAAAAAAAATTGTTATTGTATTTTGTAAGATTATAAGTTGATGTTGAAAATAAAGTTTGTCGATACAATTTAATTGTTTCAGATTGGAGGTCATAACTTCAACAATTTGTAACCTAGGAGAAAAGTTATTGTAAGCTTTTTTGTTTAAAATTTGATGCTTTAACAGAAAAAAATATAATATACAGGGGTTTCCATTTAAAAAAATGTTATTTTACTGAAAAAAATCAAAATAACGACTCTCAATTGTTTTTTTTTATTTCTCATTTTTACCAGCGTTAAAAATGCTACTAGTTTGCTAATTCAAACAACTTTGTATTTTCACTAATAACAAAGTTACTAATGGTGGACACTTAATTTGGATAACCCTGTATAACATCACTGGTTACCTACCTTTGAAGGGTAAATTTACGACTGCACTTTTACTATATTCAGGTTGGTTCTTATACAGATTTTGCGTTTTATTTGTTATGTTTAAAGTTGTGGGAACCTGCAAACTGAGAGGTGTGTTTTAGAAATAAAATTTTTTATAAATTGTGTGTGTGGTATAAAGTGGTGTTATGAATATGAGTGATGAACCTTCTACAAGTTCTGGATGACCCAAACGATCTTGTATTGGCAATACCAAAAATAAAAAGAGAATTTTAACACAAAAGAAACTGCAGGAAATCGCAGATAATATTGACGACTGGGAAGATTTTTCATCTTCAGGATCAGGTATGTAGTAAAAATACATTGTTAAAATTTTATCTGGGGCTGGTTCTCTTTTAAATGCGTATAAATTAACACTTTTTTAATTTACTTATTTATAGAGTATCTAAATTCAGAATCTGATGATGGTAGCAATAGCGCAGGCAGTAGTCTTCCAAGCATTCATAGTTTAGATTGCGATTTGGATGAAGTAGACACTGAAGAGAGCGACAATATAAATACCCTACTACAAGATAATGAGGATTGGCATGATGTGGACGGGACATTCTTGCGTTCTGACATTATTTTTTTCTGGTGCAGAGCAATACGTGTATCATCACGGCATTTACCCTAGTATTGATGTCTATGAATGTTACATTGATGACGAGATTCTTGAAATTATAGTTTCAGAAACAAATAGAATCGGCACACCGCTTTTACAAAAACCAAATATAAAGCTAGAATAAGACGATGGATCCCTACAAATAAAAAAGAAATTAAAAAGTTTTTTGGCAAAGTCATGTATATGGGCATAGTCAAGTATCCTAAAATTCTGGAGTGTTGGCGAAAAAATAGGCTGTACAATAGTACGTTTGTTCCAACAGGGATGAGCAGAAATCGTTTCCAACTTTTGCTAAGAGCATTTCATTTTGTGAATAATGATGGCGCAGAGAGAGACAATCGACTTTATAAAGTGGAAGATATTATCAAAAAATTTGAGACCAAATGTTCCAACGAGGCAATTCCAGGAGAAACATTAGCTGTAGATGAGACTGTGGTGCCCTTTCGTGGACACCTAAGTTTCCGGTAGTATATACCTAGTAAACGACATCGATATGGTATAAAACTATTCAAATTGTGCGATCCAAAAGGCTATACCTACCGATTGTCGGTCTACAGTGGGAAAAATTTCGAAGATACAGGTAAAGGAAAAGGACTGGCATAAAAAGCTGTAATGGCCCTTGTTCATGACTACTTGGGAGAAGGAAGGACACTAATAACAGACAATTATTATACTTCATTACCTTTAGCAAAATCACTATTGGCATCCAAGACTCATCTTCTAGGCACACTTAGAAAAAATCGAAATGGCCTCTCTAAAGAAGTTATAAGTGCACAGCTAAAAAGAGGGGAAATTGTGGTGAAGGAAAACACTACAGGACTCGTTATAGGTAAATAGAAAGACAAAAAGGATGTTCCGTTCTTGAGTACTAAGCACACGCTGGATATAAAGGCTACTGGGAAGAAAAACAGAAAGAGCGAGGAGGTAAAGAAGCCTTCTGCCATATTAGAATACAATGCTGGTAAAGATGGTATAGATGTTTCTGATCAAATGGATGGCTACTTTTCCCCACTCCGAAAAACAATTAGATGGTATCATAAGCTAATGTTCGAAATTCTCCTGAATACGTATGTCATCAATTCTCTTAATATTTACAAGCACTTCAAAAAACAAAACATACAAATTGGTGCTTCTAGAGAGATGTTGATTGAGAGCCTTACTCAAGTCCCAAGTGTCCCAGTAAATGAAGATAATTATAGTCTGATCAGTACAGAAGAAAGAACAGCAGACGGAAGAAAGAAAAGGAAGAGATGCATTTCATGTTATGAGAAAAAAGTAAGAGAAGGAGGTGTGGTTGTGGGAATGAAACAAGCTAAATTGGTCTCTACCAAGTGCGGGCAATGCAATATTCATTTATGTTTTACTTGTTTCACTGAAAAACATTATTTTTATTTTATATTCCTTCTGTGATCACCGGTGATACAGATGGCATTGGAGAAATACTGATTAACCTAGGTGTCATGTGTATCACCGGCGATTTTAATTTTTTGCAGAAAAAAACATCTCTTTGAGTTGTTTCTCCGTTTTTTATGTCAATAAAACTTTCGTAACCATGCTTTTGTGATAATTTAGGTTTGACCTCTAATAAATGAAAATGACCCCTTATGGGGGCAGCCAAAGTGAAACAACGTTACTATCCGGTTTCACCATTCTAAGATCATTGATGAAGAAGTTGACAAAATGATAGCGGAGAGCATTATTGAGCCATCTAACTTTCCTTGGTCTTGTCCTGTGTTATTGGTGCCAAAGAAGGAACCTGAATTTAGGTTTGTGATCGACTTCCGAAGACTGAGCGAGCGAACTGTTCGGGATAACTATCCACTTCCATATATTTCTGTAATAGTAGACAAATTGGGTGGTGCTCGTTACCTTAGTTCATGAGACTTGAATAGTGCCTACTGGCAAGTTGAACTTGAGGAGCCTAGGAAGCAATGTACAGCTTTCACCGTTCCTGGAAGGGGTTTATTCTAGTTTACTCGTTTACCTTTTGGTCTTCACAACACACCTGCAACCTTCCAACGTCTCGATAGGTACTGTTTTGGGTCTAGAATTGAGTCCTTATGTTTTATGCTATTTAGACGATATAATTTGTATAGTACCCGAATTCGAAGTGAATGGGATGAATCTTGAGGAAATGCTTCTGAGCAAATTAAGAAAGCTCTCATTTCTACTCCAATTTTGACTTGTCCGGATTTTAACTATGAATTGCAAACGGATGCAAGTCCTTATGGAGTTGGAGCGGTGTTGTCTCAATTTTATGATGGCAGGGAACATGTCCTTTGGTTATGTGTCTCGTACCTTGACTCAACAAGGAAGAGTATATTCGGCCATTGAGAGAGAATTGCTTGGAGTTCTATTTGCCGTCGGAGTACTCCGTTGTTATCTTGAAGGTGCCAAGTTCTCAGTAGTCACTGATCATCACCATTCATTGCAGTGGCTTCACAAATTTAAGAATCCACAAGGACGTCTTGGCAGATGGGTTTTAAGAGCAATTTTCTTTAAATATTATTCACCGTAAAGGTCGTGAACATGTTGCATCAAATACTCTGTTTCCTGCAGTAACCCAATCCATTGAAGACTTTCTGACATTTCTTTCGAGGTTGGAAATATTGAAGATGGTTGATATATTCGACTATGGGACAAAATTCTAGAAAATCCACTTGATTTCCCATTGTGGTGTATATATGGCAACAAAATTTATTAATATGTCAAACAGGACTTCCCTGAATTACGACAGGATGACGATTTTTGGAAATTAGCAAGAAGTTCTTAGAAACAAGACGAACACTTATGCAATCTTTTCAATCTGAACAAAAAGCAGCTCATTTTGGTGTCCAGAAAACGTTTTGTAGGGTTTCCAGATTGTACTATTGGCCTTGTGTGAGAGCTGATATCACCAAATTTGTTAGAGAATGTCAGCTTTGTCAGAGGGTCAAACCAGAACAGAAGGCACTTGTTGGTCTTACGGGTGGTTCAGTCCTTGCAAAGCATTGCTGGCAAATTGTTAGTATGGATTTGTTTGGGCCGCTTCCGAAGAGTAAACATGAGAATAAGTACATATTTGTTGTCAAAGACACTTTCAGCAAGTACAATCATTTCTTCAAAATTAGGCGTACAACCGCTGATCCTGTGGTTAAATTGGTTGAGGAAAAAATATTTCTAACCCATGGTGTCCCAGAAATCATTCGATGTGATAATGGCGTGCAATTCAAGAGTAAATTATTTGAAAACCTTGTAAATAAATATGGCGTTAAAATTTTATACAATCTCAATTATATCCTTCTCCAAATACAATTGAACGAGTGATCTGCATTCTAAAGACATTGTTGCAAGCTTTTGTAATAGATAACCATCGTATATGGGATGAAAAATCTTTTGAGTGCGTCGTTAACACTGCCGTTCATGAGGTCACTGGGAAAACTCCTTATTTTATAAACTATGGTACTGAAATGATACTTCATGGGGACGAATATAAGGTCAAGGTATGGGATGACTCAAATGATCAAGACTTAAATCGAAGGGTAAAAAAACTCCGCAAAATGGTGTCAGAAAGATTACAGGTTACGTGATCTTCACAACAATTCAACCTCAAACGCAGAGATCTTAAATTTACTGTTGGGGATTTAGTTTTAAGGAGAAAATTCGCTCTGACCGATGAACGTAACTATTTCTGTGCCAAATTGGCACATTTGAAAGTCCTTTTAGAATCAAACGTAAACGTGGTTTTTGTGTGTATGAGTTAGAGGACAACAATGGGAAATTTAAAGGTGACTGACATGTGAAAGATCTAAAACCATATATTGCACCTACTTAGTTATTGAATTTATTTTCCCCTCTGGAAGAGGGGCGTTTGGTAGGCTGCGCTTGACTAGTGCTGCCGAAAACTGATACGAGGGATGTTTTGTAAGTTTTGCATATAGAAACATAGTAGGCCGCGCGGATCGAACGCCGGTACTGAATCTTAACCTCACTCTTTAAATTCAAACTTTCACAACAATACGTGCAGTGTTCTCACTACAGTGAATTTTTAAGTGTCAGCAAGTCATTAGAAAAATGGAACTCAACCGAGACATTTTCGCGCCATAATTTATAACAACTTTCAGAGACAATTATCGCAACAAGAAAGCCTTGCTGAGTTACTATCTGTTTTCGATAACGAAGCGCCACATCAGTCTGGTGAGTCTTAGCGATGATCCCAGGGTGGGTGAACCAAAAACAACACACCAGGAAAACGTCGATGCTGTGCGCAAACTCATCATTGAAGATAGACATGTGACATATCGCGAGTCTGAGGCATCCTTGAAGATCTCAAAGCCCTCAATTCAAAAAATTTTACATGAAGAATTAGGAGTAAGAAAATTAGTTTCTCGTTGGATACCCCACCTGTTGACTGAAGAGCAGAAAGCAGCTAGGGTTAATTGGTGTCAAAAAACGCTGGACCGTTTCAATTTCGGAAACTCAAAAAATGTGTACAGCATTGCTGGTGGTGATGAATTGTGGATTTACTGTTATGAACCAGAAAATAAACGACTGTCGGCTGTTTGGGTGTTCCAAGGTGAAGAAAAGCCAACAAAAGTCATACGTTCTCGAAGTGTTTCCAAAAAGATGGTCGCGACATTTGTGACAAAAGCGGATCATATTGCAACAATCCCTCTTAATGAGCAAATAACTGTTACTGCGGATTGGTCTACCACCATTTGTTTGCCAAAAGTCGTCACCGAGCTTCGAAAAATCAACTCCGAAAGAAGAATAATCCTCCACCAAGACAATGCAAGCTCGCACACAGCCCAAAAATCAAGGCAGTATTTAACGGAAGAAAACATGGAATTATTGGACCATCCACCATATAGTCCCGATCTAAGTCCTAACGATTTCTTTACTTTTCCGAATATTAAAAACAGACTGCGTGGTCATAGGTTCCAGTCACCAGAAGAAGCAGTTGACGCATTCAAAAATGCCGTTTTGGATCTGCCAGCAAACGAGTGGAATAAGTGCTTCCAAAATTGTTTCGAGCGCATGCAGATGTATATTAATCTTCGTGGAGAATACTTTGAAAAACAATAAAGTCATTTAAAACTACCTACCGTGTTGTTTTATTTCCATATGCGAAACTTAAAAGACATCCCTCGTAGTCATACATAACTTTACCAATGGATAGAATTCTTTTTCTCCGAGAACTAGGGAGTGGTAAAAATCCACGAAGTGCTGGAGTACTATTCACTAATATCCTTATATATCACTTCTAGGTTTGTTGTTAAGCTACTTTTAACTCATACTTTTGCCTGCCAAGCTTTTGTTATTTTTAAGATTTTGGGTTTTGGACAGGTTAGTTTCTAGAGATAGCCTCTTTGACTTGCCATCTTTTTTTCTCTCAGTTGTAGCTTATTATATCAGCCTTCATGATGTGTTGCTTAATAATTTCGACGGTACACATTTTTTATTTCGCTATTTACCTGTGATCTAAATTGGTTTTGTTTTATGGAAGTTGTATCGTATTGGGTGTCTATAAGTACCAAAAACCTTGTTTTTGCCGTTTATGCTGCCACAAATGCAACGACGTTCAGTATTATGAGTCAAGAGGGCGTTGTTTAGTTGGTACTTCAGATGGGATGTATTAACCAATCCCATAGGATAGTTGCCAAAACTGACCATCTCTGCTGTACCTTTATATCAGCCGTGCTGAACCCAGGTTTTTCTTTCTGGCTGCTTACGGTGGTCCAACACGAAATGCCCTGTTTGTTTTGTTGGAGTTCTTAGCTAGATATGTCAGCAACTACGTTTACTCCCGGAATGCCAATACTCACATTTTCTGTTGCCGTTACTAGTTACCCTTGGCCAAAATTTGGTTTTGTTTTGAAAAGGCTGTGTTGTATTGGGTGTTTACAGGTACTAGAACCCTTTGTTCTTACCTTTCGTGCCACAAAATTATACCTTCGGGAGGGTGAGTAGGGGGGGCGTGTTTGGTTGGTATTTCAGACGGGAGTGTGTTTTGCCATCCCCAGAATATGGTTGCAAAAAACTGGCCACTGCTACTGTAGTATCACTTCAGCCCCGTCGTAGACCCCCGGTATTTTCTGGTAGGCTGTTTACAGTGGTACAATATGGAACACTCTATTCCTTTTTGTTTGCTTCTGGCCAATATTTTTATACCTGTATTATTTGTTAGTACATCCTTCAGCCTGGTAGTGCTATATCTTACCTCTCTTGTTTGGTGGGTCTTAAGGTTAAACTTTTTTCAGCTTTCTTGATTCTCTTTATTACCTGCCTCTCGTCCTTGTTGTCGTTGGGAGCTTTGGGGTCCTCTTTGGGTTTATTCTGCATAAGGCCAGTGAACGAGGCTTCCCATGCTTCTTAGGTAAAGCGCAACCTGGCTAAACATTCGTTAACTATATCTTGATAAACAAAAATTATTACAACATTTTTCTTATTTAGAATAATAATTCTGTAGCAGTTCTTAAAAATATCGAATTTCATTTTGATAACAAAACACTTCTCTTAGTCTAATAGTCTTGTGGTAGGAAATCAGACTCTACTCCCCATCTAGACCGTTAATTCGAGAGCTGAAGTTGATTGGTGCTATTTCCGGTGCTCTCGTAGGCAGCACAGCGCCACAATCCGATGTAGTGAAATAATTTCAGCCGCAGTGCGACAGATTTATCGGGTGGTGGGATTTTAATAGAAATCAGCCTCCATTAGTGAGTTTTGTTGGCGGAGCCCTTTTCCTCACCCCGTTGGAGATCTAGCCGTTGTCATAACTGCTTCAAACCATCGAGCTGGTAAGTGACTATTTTCTCTAAGTCACGTGTTCATTTGCTCAACATGATGTTTAACGCCGTCCGCACATGTCACGACTGATATGCAATCGTAGTTGTCGAAAGGTTGCGCGACCAACTGCTCAGTGATCCGCTAGCATGAGTGAATAGAACGCCGCAACCTGATTTGCTGGTCGAGAACAACTGAGGTTGCGCAATTCTGGGGAACATTTTTATTAATTTGCGTGGTTTTGTTTAGGGCTGCAAATTTTCAGATTGTTGAAAATGAGAGATCAGTTAGTGAATATTAAGTTTGTACAAGAAGTGGAAAAACACGAAGTATTGTATAATTATAACCTTCCTGGATACTCAAGACGAGATGTAACGGAAAAAGCGTGGAGTGAGGTGGCGAAAGAAGTAAGCATGACAGGTATGTACAATGCGTTTAATAATATAAATTAATTAATGAACAACATATATTGCACATTAATTGACAAAACGACAGAACAAGATATTGTGTAGCAGGAGAACCAATACATTTAATCTATAAAAAAGTAAATAAGATATCAATTTTGATAAAGGTATATATGTAACAACAGTTTTATCTGGGTTACTACTTTTGTACAGGAAAAATCAAATGTCTCGGACACAATCCCATTGCCAGGGTAGAGAGGTATGAGGAGACAAAAAATAATTAGCAATATAACTTCTGACGGCAGTTGATGTAGAATCGACATTTATTGTTAAATCTGTCATTGGTATAATTGTGTTATTTTATGTTGTTCCTGTCGTTTGAGCTGAAGATGCTGTATACTCAATTCTTTCTTGAGCGCATTCAATTGTTCTGCGCCTTCGGCTCAATCTATGGTTAAAAATGCGTTTAACATTGTCTACGTTGTCTATTGTTCTTTTTGGATACGGCCTCATTAAATATCGTGTTAATGGAAAAGCTTCATTCTCCACAAATTAGTAAGGCAATTGGACTCTTTTTTCATCGTGCGTTAAGGGGGAGGGTGAAAGAATCTCAAAATTGAATTGTGTTATCCAGTACTTGATTCTAGAAGCACGGAAGATCCCTCCATCGCTGTTTCTTCCTACGTAACCTGGTTCTATCATTGTAAAAAGTCCATCTGCATCACAATGTGCCATAAGTACCATACAATGATAAGATTTATAATTGGACTATTCTGAACCGGTGTTAGCAAATTTCTGTAGTCGGATATGTTTACCGTCTATTGCTCCTATGAAGTTGGGAAGATTCCACAAGAACTCGAAACGATCTGCTATCGCTTTCCATTTTTCAACCGTTGGTAAAGGCATGTAGGTGCCATTCAGCACATCCCAGATGGATTATTTTTGTTGTTTCTTTAACGATAATACCAATTGTGGTCTCCCCTTTTGCCAAGTATAAAGAAAGCTATACAAACGTGCAACCCGTAGCCAAGTACCTGTAAAAACATAGAAATATTATGAAATTTAAAAAAAGGTATCGATAAATTGTTATTTATTGACTATTATAAGGTGTTTCTCTACGATATCTATAATAAATATAAGTTACCTCTCATATTTTCTTTTGCGTAATTTCCATTTTTTGCTTTTTTAACAATTAAAAACAAAATCTTTTTCCAGTTGCTGAGTACAAGGAAAAATGGAGAAACCTCAGTACAGTTCTTTCTCGAAAAATGAAGTGCCCTCCAAGTGGATCAGGAGCGACAAAGAAAAAAGCTTATTACTTGGCTGATGTAATGCAGTTTGCTGTGCCATTTATAAAGACAGCCATTCCTCCTTCACCTGGAAATTTGCCAGAGATGCCTGGACAACAGACAACCCAAGTACTATCACCCTCAACTAGCGATTATGATGAAAATACTGCAGAAAATGATACAGAACCGGCGTCGTTCTCACAGCAGCCCTCACCTCCATTTTCTCCGCCACCGCCGCCACTACAACAAACAGCACAGACTAAACGAAACGCAGAGAGAAGTCTTATCACAGACAAACATTTAAGGTGGCCTCACGGCGGAAATGTGAAGAGGACGCAGATGTGTCTGTCGCTGAATAGTTTACAGCTAAGAAGACTAAACTGGACCAAAATCAACAAGATGAGAGGAAATAAAGTATTAAAATGTTTTTGTTAAGCCTGATACCCGATTTGTCTCAGTTGAGTGATGTACTAATAAGGTTTAAGCGAAGAGTTTTGAATATTATCGACGATATTGGATTTAGTGCAGTAAACCCCACTGAAAATACTACTGCTCGCTGCCAAAGTGGATCTGTGACATATTCCAATACATCAAGTTTATCAGCAATATCATCTCCATCGACTCCTCATAATATTCCACTCACAAGTCAGTATTATGAGAATTTTAGACATTCTGTGTCCCCCACTGAGGTCAATACCTACACTATTAGTGATGACTGCACAACTTAAAAAGTTGCGTTCTTCCTTTTTTAAATCTTTCACATGTTCAGCTTAAAGACATTTAAACATTATTAATTGTATTAAGCTTAAATATAATACTTACCTTAAAGTGATTAGTATTCTTTCCTCTGCGCTCACACAATCTCGCATATTTGTATTCATCTTTGATAAGAAAGAGCTAAGCAGCTTAACTAATTCCAGGTAAGAAGCTTTGGATATTCTGTAGCATTGCACGAATTTGATATCTGTTTCGGCTAGCTGGTTAGCTGCCATGAAAAACCTGCAGTTTATGTTTCTTCCAATATAAGGATGACACCACAGTTTTCTTCGAAGTCTTCGTTGACTTTTGTATCGGTAATAAATAAGCACGTCTTCTTCCTCACTACTAGACATATCTCACAGAACTAGAAGAAAATGTTAACAAGAAAACCGAATCCGTACTGCTCTCATGTACAGCACTGTTTGAGCTGGTTGTATGATACTAATTCAAATTCAGTCGTTTCATGTGCGGACAAGTGCAAGCAAGATGAAACTATAATTTCAGAACAATTGCGTTTGCGCCGTGTGCGGACGGCCTAACACTACAATGGGGAACTGTGGAACTGTTTGCAGTGATACTTCAAGGCGAATTTAAAATCAAGGTACCACGCTTGTAAGGAACAACCTCCCATTTCTGTGAAATCTCATTTTTCGAGGTAATTATGATTTTTTTGACTTTGCTAGCCCTGTCTTAATCTCGTACAAATTGGAAACACAACCACTTCGTTCAAAGATTAAGCATAAAACTATGCGTAATTTTATTTGTGACACTTTAGACATTCTTATATAACATTAAGGTTATATTTTAACCATTTAACTATACTTTGTTTAGATCAATATTGAATTTGTCAAAAGCTATTAGTTCACCAACTTATTTAGAAGTAAAAAGAGAGAAATGCTCTGGATATTCCATTGGTAACATTTATTTATTGTTCATTATCATAGAACATACACTGAGAATAATATAGTGTTATTTTTATATTGCTGTAGCTTCTGATTTTGGTTGTATATTTACTGATATTTGAGTGAGCCATGCTCACGAGGTAAACTATTCCTGTTGTTCTCAAGTAACGTTTAAATTGCTTTACTTATAAGTTGAGTGAGGACAAGAAATATTATACATCCGAGTCCTTATGTCTTTATTCGGATATCTGATTATTATTGTAATTTAGTTCAGGTTAATTTAAAAATGTGGGTATTGCTAGTACAATCACGATTTTCCTTGTACGCAATGATTGAACAGCAGCTTTGTTTTAGTTATAATTTTTTTTATTGGTGTGACCCCAGGCTGAATGGGTCCATGTTAAATTTAAGTCTTTAATTCTTGGTAGCAAATTATTTCGGGTTACTTTTAGAAGCTCTAGCCAAATATGCAATAAAATCAGATTTCTTCAACAGCTGCGAGAGTGCAACAAAGATCGCTATCACTACACACTTCTGCCTGTCACGAGGAAGGTTAAGGCGTATTTTTAGGTGTTTTGTAAAAATTGGCTGAAACGTGGCCATGTCTGTAACAGAAAAAATTAAGAAACCGATAAGAAGTTATTATTTGGCCTACCCTGCGAAAATGATTGATATTACATTAAATAACCTACTGCATATGTATAGCACTCGTCGTGATTTGTGAACACTCGATTGTCTACAGCGTTTTTGTACAAAAAGGGAACTTTTTGTGATTCTGGTTTACTCATCGCAGCGATCGCAGATCGAAACGTTCTAAGGTGGTCGGTAGGACAGAGGAGACATTTCAAGATAGCCCATCAAATGGGTGTGGTCTAATTATAAGGGTCTATTTGACTCATTTTATCTTTTGTTATGGATGTTCGTAGTTGACTTTTCTCTAAGAGGAAGTGAATAGTCAATCTATTCCTTCAGCCGATCAGGCCTCTCAAAAATATGTTTAAATAATGATTATTGCATGTATATACAGGGTGTAATTTAAATGATGGCTAAAAATACATGATCAGCTCATTTTAGGAAGAAGAGTTTATATGAATTATATGTCCTAAACCTCTTAACTTTTGAGCTATAGGGTGTTACAGTTTTAAGAAAAAATTCGTTTTCTCTTATCATAACTTTGATACTGTTCTAGATATTTTCATGAAATTTGTCACGCACCGACTTAGCACCAATAGGCATTCTCCGATATAGAATATTTTTTAATATTTCTACCATTGGCGTCCGTGCCGGATGTAAACTTGAGATTAAAAAAAATGGTAGGTACACTATTGTTTTTTCCGAAAATAAAAATTCTCATTTATTTTATAACAAATTTGACCTGACTTTTTCCATCCGATGCATAGTTTTTGCGTAAAAAATAAAAACCATTTTGGTATTTTAATCAACTGACTTTATTTGAATAGAAATTGAACAAAAACACATCTTACCGACATACAACAGTGGCGAAACGTACATGTAACCATTGTTACCATTGGTAACAGTTAAACATCTTAAAAATAAATATTTTATGACTAAGTACTGTGAAATAATTTCATTTATTTGTTTACCAACAGCGATATGTAATAGTAATTCAGTAAATAGCAAATTAGTCCCACGAAAACAATGCGCCCTATACTGTCTAGGTTTTGCGAACACGATGAAGCTGACTCGCATCGACTTGTTTTTCGGTTGTTACCATTTTCGTTTATGGATACACTTGGTAGTCCTTCGGGGACCGCCGGTACCGGCTCGTGTCTGATCGCGGCCACCCGAGTGCGTGGGGCGCTGCGACTATTATGTGGACTTGTTACCATTTTTTGATTTGGTTACTCACTTTTCACTCGTCAATAGCCGTTTTGGTTACCGGCTGTAGTGTGCGTGGAATTAAAGATGGATGAGTGTCGCTGCGTAATCGATCAACTACTTGAAAAGTCATTCTCCTTGTATAATTGAAAATGGAAGACCAACACCTATTTTAGATAATCTTAAAAAGGAATAAAAAAAACGTAGTTTGATGTTTTAAATTAAGTTGGTATATGGAAACTCTTGGTTATGTAGTTGCAAAAAAAAACAGACTGTATTGTTGGGGATGTCTTATATTTTATACAGAAAAAAATGGGTGGACCAGCAGCGGAGTCAACGATTTAAATAGTTTTAGGGCTCTAAAGAGGACACATGAAATTTCTCCGTTACATGTGAGATGTGTAGCCAATTTAATTCAGGCAAAACAATAATCGAAAGTTGTCTTAGGGCCGATTTCACCAACATTAATATTATGGACCTTATCGAAATGCAATTTAACGGAAGCTGTCAAAGGTCTCAGAATATCAGTGATTTCTATTAAAATGTTGAATAAAATCGTGAAAATTCGACTGTATCATAAACAAGACCACTTTTTGATTCCAACATGATGCTTTTTTACAGAGAAAACAGGATAACTTTCATGTATTTTGATTTATGTTATAGGTGTACATTTGACCATCCGTTATCCCCTCAGCGAATGGGAATGGGAGAAATAATTTGTTAAGTTCAATATACTGTGTGTATATGTGATCATTATAGCTACACATACCTGTTGAATTGTGCGGATTTGCAAGAAAATAGAATATAAAATGTATTCCAACTAATTTCTTATCTCTCTTTACATCATGATAGTAATCATTTGTTATAAATTCATGGGTTAATAAATGTCTTCAAAGCAATCAAAACAGTATGATCGTCCCCATCCTAAAACACCGATATGTGTAAAACATGTTAATCCCTACATCTCCGAGGTGCATAATGCAATTACGGTAGACATAGACCTAAAATTATTAGTAATTACTGAAAAATAAGAGCTAAAAAGAATTATGAATAGTGATAAAATATTGGTAGTTAAGGTTTTTGACTGGTGACTGGTGGGGATACAATATAGGGATGGCGATGATAGACGATACATTGATGTAACGAAAACATCGATACATCGGACGTAGAACATCGATTTTTACGCATCGATGGTTTCATGACGATATATCGATATCGAGAGAAATCATAAACATCCGTAACCGTATACCCCGAGTCTATCCTTAACTGTGCTACCATCTCTAAGCGAGGACTGGTAGCTTCGAAATTGAAAGGTCAGAAAGCTATTTAGGTGTATAGTAGTATTTGAATATTATCATTACAGACGAGCACTGAGCCACTGAGTGGCCACTCAGCACTGAAGTCTTTTCTTCATTCTGTACTTCCCCAAGGTATAGAATAAAATAGACTGAAAATAGCGCGTTTAATGATTTTCAGTTCTCAGAGAAAGATTTTCCCCTCCCGGCCTTTGACATCGTTTCGAAATATAAAAATAAAAATGAATACACAAAGCCTACTTACCTATTTCAGACAAAAACAAAAACAACTGCCACATAACGATTGTCACTTTGACATCATTCTGCAATCTGTCAAAGTAGTGATGGGCGTGCCTGCTGCACAGTATACGGTATCGATATTCGATACAATATTTTTCTTTCTACCATTCGTGGAAAAAACAAAATAAGGAGGGATCTAAAATAAGGATAGTTATTGAAGGCCTAAAATAGCCAGGCGCTAATAATTCCTGCCCGTATTTGAATATCTAATATCTAAGTAAAACAAAAATAAGACTTGGAATTAATAAAGTTTATTTCGATAGTTGGCAGAGTTTGCCCCACTGGGACGAAGTGTTGACGGATCCCACAGAATTATGTGTCACTTGTCGATATCGTTAGTTTTAAAATATCAGCAGATAATCAGCTGTTATTCAAATCAGTGTATATGTTTTGTGATTCAAATAACGTCTAACATAAATATAACCCAGAATATGTACTCAGTGAAAAAAGAAAAATATTGCAAATTTCTAGTTTTTCTGCAGGTTTTAGGTTTGCTGGTAGCTCTACGACATATATTTGGGTATTTCTTAGTCGCTGTGAACAACGAAAAATATTCAACTTTATGGATGTATGGATATTAAAAAACCAGAATGGTTTTGTGGGAATATCAATCTAAGGTGCCATAATCGACAATATTAAATAAAAGCTTGAATTTTGTTCAAAAATCGAACACTTTTTTAAATTTTGACTGAATTATATGTAATTTCTTAATATTCAATGAGCTGATGATGTTTCAATGGCAAGATGTCATCTCATACTTTGGCAGTATTTTGTTTTCAACATTTCATAGCTATTGCTTGCTAAAATTTGTTGATTGGAACTTGAAGCTCATCCGCTGTATTTGACGGGCTGTTACCCTATAGGTGGAGAATAACGGACTGGTGTTGGTGAAATTGGCCCTTAACCAAGCTTTTAGGCAGCACACTTCTAGATACCGTATGTTTCTTGGCAAAACAGGAATTACCGTTCATTTTGAATGCGATGGCTCTGACAATAGAGGAAATTACAAGGAATTGCTAACATTCACTGCCAAAAAAGATCAAAAATTTTCAGAGCATCTACAAACGTCGACTGTTTTTTCGGACGGCTTGGATTAGTCATAGCATAACACGATGGGGTATATCAAGTGCCCCAGACGCTCAGTCCAGGAATGTTAACCTTAATATAAAAATAGTTTAAATGAAATACCTAAAATGAGCAAAAACTTATATTTGGGAGGTTCAAAATAAACTTTTTTTTTTGTAACAGTTTAGGAAAAGTCACGCGTTGCCACTGACATACAAAGATGAGATTTTAGCGATTTTGTAATGCATGAAAAATAAAAAAAACAAGTTTTCAACAAGTCTTGACAATTTTTGTGGATAAAATATAGGCTTCAATTCTCTTTCTCATGGATTGGTAAACCCTTTCAGAAATTCCATCAGTATTTCTTATGGTTTGGCAAGAAAGTAAAATGTTCTGCTTAGTTCCTCTACAGTTTGAACCGGTGCAGTATAAAAAGAGTCTTGAGGTGTCCCTACAAAGAATAGTCTAACCTTTTTAAATCATGAGACCTGGAGGCCAAGATTGAGTTCCCCACGTCCTATTCGGCGATTCGAAAACGCTTCATTTAGAAATTCCCTAGCGTGAATGCTAAAATGTACAGGAGCACCATCAAGCATCGTCCGCATTTCTTCTCTTAATGAAAGAAGTACATCCTTGAGCAAAATTGGCAAATCGTTTTCAAAAGAGTCCATCCATTTGTCTTGGAAGGAAGAACGGCCTACGATGAAATTTCTAACTATTCCAGCTCACTCATTCATGTAAAACTGCTTCGATGTGCCTCCGTAGTTGCGTGTGGGTTTTCTTCGGCCCATACGTGATTATTATAGAAATTTCGAACGGAATTGCGGGAAAAATTAGCTTCATCAGTATTTTAATATCAAATAATGGGTTTTCAGCAAGTTTTTCTAACAACCATCGGCAGAAATATAAACGCAATAGCAAAATCACGTGACGTAGCGCTTGAACCCTAGTAAATAATCAACAAGTATTTTCCAAATAAGAAAATAAATGGGAAACATTAAGCATTACCGTAATTTTCCTAGTACTTGTTTCTGGATGTTCGCTAGTTGTGTTTAAAACAGCTGCCTCTAATTCTGGTGTTCTCACAGTGCGATGTGCCCCTTTGGAAATTTTTCAATGCTAAGACTCCCAGTTTCGTGTAGTCTTCCGTGTATTCTAGAAAACATTCTGGCGTCGGGAATGATACGATTTGGATACCGCTCTTGATATATCCGCCTAGCCATGAGCGTATTCCCGTCAGCAAGTCCGTAGGTAAAATGCATATCTGCTAGCTCGGAATTTGTAAATCTTGCCATAGCTTACTTATTTTCTCTTTATTATAGATTAAAGAAACTTTCATGATGTAAAAAACTATTACGTTTACGAATACCGGCAGGGCACCAACCTACCAGCTCAAAATAATTTCATCATACCACAAATGCATGAATATGGTTTTAATTTGTTACCCGAAAACGGTACATCAGACGGAAAAAAAAGGATTTTAAAAATATTTTTTTTTGATAAGAAAACGAATTTTTTCTTAAAATTTTAACACCCTGTAGCTCAAAAGTTGAGAGATTTGACATATGTTCATATAAACTTTTCTTCCTAAAATACGCTAAGGAATCATACATGTATCCTAAATTTTTAGCCCCGTTTTAGGGGCCTGACTTACGACCTATTCATTTCTTTGTGTTTTGCTGTAGTCACTGAGATTGCCCACATATTCCAGGATACCAATTTGCAGATACTAATAATTTAATTTTGCTGTAACTTACCCTTGACAGAAGAATATAAAAGGCAAGTCCAAATGCGATGATGAGTATTGAAAACACCATCAGCACCTTAATCAGCGTCTGCAAGATCTCCAGGAACATCACCACGTAGATTCCCACTTGGTCGAACCTCTGGAGTAGCAGCAGAAGGTTAAACCAGCTCAGAAACACCGTGAGCGATGCACAGCTGAACTGAGAGTCGTACATCGTGCTTCCAAAGATTGGTGCCACCATGACCAATGCTGAGGCATAGAGAAGCCACGTGACCAAATTTATCGGATCCATGAAGTACATGATCTTCTGTTGATAGATTTGAACCACTTCACGAAAGCAATTGACTGCTAGGTAGAAGATTATCGCTAAGCCGCAGACGTACATGGCATGGCTAACTTCGATGTTCAGGATGTTCTCTTTACTAACTGCTATGTATTCCTAAATCAGAGAAATGCATTTAATATATGAACAATTGGCGTCAGCTTGATAAGCTGCAAAATGTCGACATTGGAAAAACGGTTGTTTTAAATGCTTCAAGCAAATTCTGCGAAAGTAACCTCACAGTGAACAAACAAAAATAGCTGAAACAGGGAAGAAAATTGAATTTTTCAAGCATCCATTCCATGGATAAAAGGATTTTGTTGAAATGACAATGGTCACAACTGAAATATTTATTTTTTAAGTATCGTTCCTTTGGTTTAATTATCTTATATTGCAAATACTCATATCATACATTTTATATTACATTACTATGATTAATAAGTGGCTCCAGTCAAATTTGACAAAATACGTGCGACTCCTGAGAGCGTAATCGCTGGGTGCGGGATGACAGCACCACGTAGCTGATATCGGTCAGAAATATTTGTGCTTGATACGTGCATTATAAAAATAAACAGATATCAATGAAACTAACAGGCTCGCAGTTGAATTGAGCTTAGGAACAGTTCAATTTCAACACAACTAACAAGTTACGTTTTATAAGTATCCTAATACCGTTCACATAACTATTTTTATAAAACAAGAATGCCGCTAGAAACGTTTATACAACGCTTATAAGCCCGAAAAGATCTCACTTTTGTGCAACAATTTTATTCTTTAATCAGTTTTATTATGGCTCCCACAGCTTTTACCGGATAATGATCATAATACATAGTATGCATTAGTTATAAAACAGTTTTATTGAAAACAGTTATAGAACTAGAATAATACAATTTTATAAATATTGTTTTATTATCTTAGATGCAGCTTTTGTTTTGACTAACACTCTGCTGTCTTGATTCGGGTCTAAAGGCCGTCATCGGTTGGAATTTCTTCCTAACGTTTCGCTAGCACGAGTGGCAAGCTCCTTCAGGGTCCTTCTATTTCCGATGCTGGATGTAGACAGACGATTTCTCTTGCGCAGGTTGTATTTATACCGGAGGGTAGGTGACGTGGCTTGCTCCGCTTCGGTTGACTTCGGGATGTCGATCGGCACTCCTCGGGCGTTTCTGAGGATCGGGTGCCAGATCGGGTTGAGTCTGAAGGTCCTTCCTGTTGAAGTCATCTGGATGTTTGTGAATCTCGATAGCTTCCCTGACCAGTCTATTGTGGTAGCCGCTGACTGATGACAGCAACCTGCAGCTCCCAAAGTGCATCCTGTGGTCCACATTGCTTAGTGCATGTTCAGCTACCGCAGACTTCTCTGTTTGTCCTAGCCGGCAATTTGCTTTGTGCTCCTTGAGTCTCGTTCCCATTGATCTTTTCGTGGTTTCAATGTGTACTTTGCCGCATGAACACGGTATGCGGTAGACTCCTGCAGCTGAGAGTGGGTCCTTCTCGTCCTTTGCCGATCTGATGATTTGTTGGATCTTCTTCGTAGGCTTGAAGATTGTTTTAATGTCATGTCTCCTCACGTGGCCTGGCTGATCTCGAGCCCATTGATCGTTTGATGTCCCTCTTTCTGTAGCCATTTGCTTCGAACGCAGTTTTCAGGTGTTCAAGTTCTGCCTGGAGGTTCTCCGGTTCGCAAATCCTTCGATCTCGTTCTGTCAGGGTTCTGATGACTCCATACTTCTGACTTGGGTGATGATTGGACAAAGCGTGCAGGTATCTGTCTGTGTGCGTTGGTTTCCTGTACACTGTGTGGAGATAGAGAGTGACCAACAACTGGCTTTCTTAGACGTACTAGTCAGGAAGCGAGGTAACAGGCTGGGTCACACAGTGTATAGGAAACAAACGCACACAGACAGATACCTGCACGCTTTGTCCAATCATCACTTAAGTCAGAAGTATGGAGTCATCAGAACCCTGACAGAACGAGCTCGAAGGACTTGCGAACCAGAGAAAATCCAGACAGAACTTGAACGCCTGAAAACTGCGTTCGAAGCAAATGACCACGTGAAACCGAACAGCGTCCCACCACCTCTCAAGCGTATCTTCCATTTGTGCCAAGAGTCACGGACAGGATTGGCAGAGTCCTGAAGAGACATGACATTAAAGCAATCTTCAAGCCTACAAAGAAGATCCAATAAACCATCAGATCGGCACACGACAAGAAGGGCCCACTCTCAGCTGCAGGAGTCTACCGCATACCGTATTCATGCGGCAAAGCATACATTGAAACCACGAAAAGATCAATGGGAACGAGATTCAAGGAGCACAAAGCAAACTGCCGGCTAGGACAAACTGAGAGGTCTGCGGTAGCTGAACATGCACTAAGCAATGGGACCACAGGATACACTCTGGGAGCTGCAGCTTGCTGTCATCAGTCAACGGCTATCACAATAGACTGGTCAGGGAAGCTATCGAGATTCACAAACATCCATAACTTCAACAGGAAGGAAGATACCCTCAGACTCAACCCGATCTGGCACCCGACCCTCAGAAACGCCCGAGCAGTGCCGATTGACATCCCGAAGTCAACCTAAGCGGAACAAGCCACGTCACATACCCTCCGGTATAAATACAACCTCCGCAAGAGAAATCGTCTGTCTACATCCATTATTGGTAATGGAAGGACCTTTAAAGAAGCTTGCCACTCGTGCTAGCGAAATGGTAGGAAGAAATTCCAACCGACGACGGCCTTTAGACCCGAATCAAGACAGCAGTTTATCAACTGGCCGCGAAAGCCTTAACCAATTTGTTGACTAATACGGTTGATTTTGTTGTTAAATTGGACTCACTGAAATTAATTTGTCATCCTTTATGCAGCAAAAAGGCAAGCGATAGATCTTTTTATTTTAGCAAATAAAATATGTTTGAGTAACTACATCAGCCATGTTGCATTTACTTCTGATATATACACCCAATACCAGACAGACAGACATTCGATTTGTAATCTGATGGTTGATATTTTACTGCGCAAGAAATTCCTTTGTATAATAAAATAATATGGGATACATATATATATATATATATATATAGCAAAATTTTCATGCGCCCCAAGTATATTAGTCATTATTGAATGTTAAGAGAGAAGGTCAAAATTTCTATTTTGTATTTTTCCTTATTCTGGCCTGTATAGTAATAAAATAATTCAAGTGAACCATCTTATTTCGTTTTATAAACACAGTAGTAAATTAAGACAATTTTATCAATGCACTTACAAACGGCCGTCGTAAATTGTAGTTGATATCTAATGAAATATGGCTTCCATGTTATAAAATACTATTACCACCCTAACGCCCAATTTCGCCAACAACAGTCCGTTATCCACCTATAGGGTAACAGACCGTCAGCTACAGCGAATGAGCTTCAAGTACCAATCAACAAATTTTTGCAACCAATAGCTACGAAATGTTTAAAACAAAATACTGTCAAAGTATGAGATGACAACTTGTCATTGAAACATTACCAGGTTATTGAATATTAAGAAATTACATATAATTCAGTCAAAATTTTAAGAAATGTTTGATTTTTGAATTACATTCATGTTTTAATTTCTATTGTTGATTTTTTATTCATGTTTATATTATTTTCTTCAATTGATATGTGATACTGGGTGTTTTTTCCTATAAGCCTCTTGCAGATAGCCATTAAGCACCTACTTGATGACAGGCACCAAAAGATATTGCTCGTTTCCAAACATTCATTCATTTACTTGCCGTTCATCAGAACCATTATGGCACCTTAGATTGATATTCCCACAAAACCATTCAGGTTTTTTGATATCCATACATCCATAAAGTTGAATATTTTTCGTTGTTCAGAAACTGAACAAACATCCACACTATATTCACAGCGATTAAGTAATTCCTAAATATATGCCTTAAAGCTACCAGCAAACCTATAAAACCTGTTAAAAAAACTACAAATTTGCTATATTTTTCTTTTTTCACGAGTACACATTCTAGGTCATATTTATATTAGACATTATTTGAATACAGCTGATTATTGCATTTCAAGGAGTGACACATGTTTGGGATCTGTCAACTCTTGGTACCAGTCACAAAACGTATATACTCTGAAGGTTTAATTCCATGCTATTCAATCACAACACGGTGACTTGTGTGGTTGTCAGCGGCCATTTTGTGAGGGTGCGACAGGGTTGCCAGATTGTGCATTAATATCCCGTTTCACCCTCCTGGTTCCAGTGGAGTAAGTTCCGCCAACTGTTGAAATATACTCTACTATGCGTGACATTTTTCCCAAAATCATTACACAACACTTGAAAAAATGCAAATGAAAATTTAAAATTATTTCCATGACCCCGCAAAATAGCTCCGTCGGTACCTTGGGTTATACATCTTGACAGTAGGGATGTTCGATAGGATCCTATATTTAGAAGTATCAATGCATTTCACGAGTATCGTCATCTATCGATCCGGACTGTGTCAGGAAGAGTGACTGCCATTTGGCAGCGACATTACCCTGCCAAATCAGCCATATCTTTCATCATTTTCGATGAAATAGTACAAAATCTTCAAATTTGTGAAGTTAGCGAGTTTCACTTCATACGTTCTCACCAGACATGCCCAAATTATCAGTTGCTGCCGTGATATTCATCCCGACCACTGCATCCCCACGGCTAGGCGACCTGTATGTTAAATTTGTATTGATAGGGCAGCGGGTTATGCTATAAGTCATATGTCACAGTGTTTGTGCACTGATTGCAAAGGTTAGATGATACCAAAAATATTTTCATAAATAGGAGATCTTTCCCATTCCGGATCGAACAATCTACCCAAGATGCTTATAATCATGATACCTAGTACATTTCACGAAAAAATGCAAAACCAGCAAATGTAAAAGATTCATTTCGCACCCTGCACCACGGGACGTGATCGTCGTTAGACTTGGCAACCCTCGAGTGACAGATAGATATCCCCGCCAGTCAACGACCGCCAGTCAAAAACACAAACAATAAGCATTACTAGTTTTGATGATTTTTGGACTTAAAAGACATTATTTGTGAAACATTTTTCATAATTCGTAATTAGTAATTGCATTATACATCAGGG